GGGGGGGGGGGGGGGGGTGACCCCCGTGCTGTGGCGAGGGGGATACAGGGCGGCAGGTGTGAGCTGGTCACATGACATATGACAAGCGATGATGTACAGACTGCGTCTTTAAGGGAAAGTACTCTGTGCACATACAGCGTGTGATAGGGAGGCCTTAAGCGCTGCATTATCTACAGACTCCAATAAGTGTGGTGAGTGGGCAGCTTTGTGATGTGGAAACACAGAAGATTGCTGGTATTCCCCAGTGAATTTTCCGGACTCTGTGAGCCCGGCGTCACACCAGAGAGCCTACGATATGGATGTAGATCTGCCGAGAGACTTTCAGACAATCGGCCAGCTCAAGTCGGTCGCCCGTCACCCTGACGATGAGAGGAGCCCTTCACTGGGGGTTCACTGGGAGACTCTTCAGTGAACCAATCACAGATCTCATTCACACACACAGTCCTTCCAAGGCTCCACCAATCCCACGCACAGTCTGCCGTGCAGATGCCCGCCCCTTCCCCTCCTAGCCCCGCCCCTTTCCCCAGTGCCCCCGCCCCACCAGACCCTCACCTCTCTCTGACGAACTCGGCCAGCTCCTTGCTGGCCAGCTGGCCGTGCTTCATGTTGTGGTAGAGCACATCGAAGCCGGTATTCTTCTCGCCCTGAAAAACAAGACGGGACACGGTGATACGGCCGCAGGGGCGGGGCCAGGGGGGCGGGGCCAGGGGGCGGGGCCAGGGGGGCGTGGGCAGTGTGCCATGACGGCCCGGCTCGACGCTGGCGTTCCCACGGAAACCTTGCGTCTTTCCATCCTGGCGCCACCATGCCGCGAGTCTCTCTGTTTTTGTTTGCCGTCCACGCCACGGTTACCCGACGTTTCCGACTAACGAGGGCATTTCCCGTCACTGCGGCGCCTGTGTCCCGCGTGGGCGTGCACTCAGAGCGTCTGCGGGTGTCACGCCGTCTAATGCGGGACGCGTTCCTGCTGGGGGGGGGGGGCACACCTTGCCGAAAGGTCACACGGTGTCACGGCACCGACACGTCTATGTGAAGCCGTCGGGGACGGTGACGTGTCATGGGGCCGGTGATTTTGCATGGTGCCACACACCGGGCCTGCGTGCCCCGAACTGAAACCGGACCCCCCCGAAAGGAGAGAAGCTCTGTGACTGTGAGGCCCAGTGGGGCAGGAAGGAGGTGTCCAGTTACCCAGCTCCACTTTCCAGGGACAGAGAGCCATTACTGGGAACACAGAGAGACAGACAGACAGACAGAGACACAGACAGACACAGACAGACACACAGACACACAGACAGAGACACAGAGAGACAGACGCAGACACAGAGAGACAGACAGACAGAGAGACAGACGCAGACACAGAGAGACAGACAGACAGACAGACAGACAGAGACGCAGACAGACGCAGACACACAGAGACAGACAGAGACACAGACAGACAGACAGACAGAGACACAGACAGAGACACAGACAGACAGACAGACAGACAGACAGAGTGAGTATCTGTGTTGCTAAGGACAGGCTAGAATGACTTCCAAAGGCAGAATCTGCCTGTGTGTTTCCATGGATAACCTTCAACTCAGCAGGAAAATCCAGGAACATTTCTGTGCAATAACACTCAGCACAGCCATACAGACAGATTATTATGGGCTACAAAAGCGATGCCTATTGAAAAGCCGGAGCAGAGGACGTGGGGGGGCTTCATATAACACGACTAAGATGCGGGCAGCGTGGAGCTCATTGAAATGTCGCTGACATCCCATCTGCATGGAAGCTGCAGCGGATGCGAATTTTGGGCAGCCGAGTGCTGGAGATGACCCAAGACCTCGCTGGGGGGGGGGGAACAAGGCAGCGCCCACTGCCATGACCGGCCAGCACAAAGCCGATAATTAAACCACCCCCCACTCTGCCACGGACCCCCCAGGAAGATAACGGAAATTATGCCTCTGAGCAGCGGGGTACTCATGCCAGCTGGCTCCGGGGGGGGGGGGGGGGG